TTGTAAAGGCCTCATCAAGATGATTGTTTTTTACGTTGTTGTCAGTGTTTTCTTGAAGTGATTTCTTTTGTATTTAACGTTATGCGTTTAAGCCTAAAGCTTTATTACTTCACATCTGCTTAATCTCTCAGCATTAAAATTGACACTTTAAAGGAAGAAATGGGTGAATTGGCTGATGCAGATGAACGTAGATTCCGAGCACTTCGGATGGCAAAAGAGCGACAACTTCTTGCAGCTGCAGAAGTTATTTGTTGTACTTGCGTTTCCGCAGCAGATAATCGACTGGCACACATGAGGATAAAGTAAACTTTTTCCAAAATAAAATTTACGTTTTATTTGCAGTGGCGGAGGTACTTAAATGATCTTTCTGTTTTTCTAATTTTTAGTGTGCTGTGAAATTTTAGGATTTTATTAATCTGACTTTTTTGAAAGATCTGTTTCAAAAGTGATAGAAGAGGTGCAGACTTGAATGGCAATGTAGGTTAGGATTTCTTAAAATATATTTTATTTGATGAAGTATTAGGGATTTGAAAACGTAAGTATTGTTGCTGACGGTGGCACTGATTGACAAATCAGTTAGAGAAAACGTTGGGATGGATTGGGAAAGGAGGGGCGGAGAAAGGTTTGGCCACCGGGGCGTTTGATAGATGTTTTCGGTAAAGAGTTGACGAAATTTGAGCCTTTTGTTGAATATTTCCCAGTTTCCCAAAACTCCTTAAAAGTGCCCACTCCCTTACTGTTTTTGTATGCAGTAATGCTTTAGTACTTCTTCTGCTCCTCTTGCCTTTGCCTGCAGTAGTTATTCCAAGAAATTGACTTGCGCGTGCCCTTTTTGCGAAGTTTTAGTGACAGATATTTACAATTTTAAATGCGCAGGTGTGTTCTTATCGATGAATCAACTCAAGCGACAGAACCAGAGGTTATGGTGGCAGTCGTGCGGGGTGTTAAACAGTTAGTACTTGTCGGCGATCACTGTCAGTTGGGACCGGTTATCATGTGTAAAAAGGTTAGTTTCATAAAATTGAGGGTTACGTTACTTGTCACCATAAAAAATTAGAGCAAGATAGACTGCTTCTGCTTAACTGATTTCTACAAAATATTTCCAGGCAGCAAAAGCAGGTCTTTCGCAATCTCTTTTCGAACGTTTGGTTGTTCTCGGTACTCGGCCGATACGTTTGCAAGTGCAGTACCGCATGCATCCTGCATTGTCAGCGTTCCCTAGCAATGTTTTTTATGAGGGCAGCTTGCAGAATGGAGTTACTGAAAGTAACTTTTTGTTTTTTTTTGTACCAGGATTTCAGTTTTTGTTTGCGTATTGAAAGATTTTGTTTTTTTTTCGTTTACCTAGTTTCGCTTACTATATTTTGTACTGTAAGGTGAAAGACAGCTGCCAAACAGTAATTGGAAGTGGCCAGTGGTTGATAAACCTATGATGTTTTGGAGCTGTTACGGTCAAGAAGAGCTGAGTTCTTCTGGAACTTCATATTTAAATAGGTGATTTTTGGCAGAGTTTCGTTTTTTACATGCTAAATTTTGCGTTGATGCGATCAGCTTTCCTCATTTGTGGCAACATTTCAGAACAGAGGCAGCAAATGTTGAGAAAATTGCCACACGTTTTATTGAGGGAGGATTGAGGCCGGAACAAATTGGAATTATAACGCCATACGAAGGCCAACGTTCTTATATTGTGCAATATATGCAAACGCAAGGAACGCTTCACAGCAAGCTTTATATGGAAATGGAAGTCGCGAATGTGGATGCCTTTCAGGTTTATTTAATTGGGTGTAGTTATCTTTAAGTGTTTAATTCCGTTCTAGTTAGGGGTGCATGTATATGGAAATGCATGGGAGTAAAATTAAGCTGTTTCTAAGCGAAAATAAAAATTTGCTGGTGTGTAAAAAAATGGTTTTTTCCAAGTGATGCAATCGTAGTTTTAGTTTTCGCTTAGTTTTTATGCGGAAATTTATATTTTGGATGGATGGAAAATGTATAGGGCTTGCTGAAAAAGTTTTTTTCGTGTGAGTTGTATGGGAGAACTTTAGTTTTGATCTCTTCTGCTCTGTTTTTGAAGCGAAGGCTGAGGGTCTGGTTTTTCTACTTGTTAAACAAGTTATATTTCTTTTTTTTGAAATACATTTTCACTGACCTCTTCCGCTTCCTTCGTCACGGTTTTCAAAAGCTTCATTGTTGCAGGGTCGTGAGAAGGATATTATCATAGTAACTTGCGTAAGGTCTAACGAGCACCAAGGAATAGGCTTTTTAAATGATTCCAGGCGCCTTAACGTTGCTCTGACTCGCGCTAAGTATGGGCTGATAATCATTGGAAACGCCAAAGTTCTCTCTAGGCATCCCTTATGGAACTTGCTTCTAACTACTTTTAAGGAGAAAGGATGCTTAGTAGAAGGGCCGCTGAATAATTTGAAGCCGTCTCCTATAACTCTTTCAAAACCGCGTGCTATGCATTCTGATTATAGTAATGTGGGTCTGATTTGATATATTTTGGTCTACGTCTTATGTAGGCTATGAGTGGCTGGTTTTTCTGTTTAGGGCAGCCGTTTCATTCCCCTCGCCACGTGGAGTGCCAAGGAGGCAATGATTCCTGGTTCCGTTTACGACCGAAGTCGTCACAGTGGCCCACATCACGATCTGAGGGCACTGCAGGATCCGTTTTCAGCAATATCTTTGGACAAGCTGAGACCTCAAGGAGGAATAAATATACCAGTTCCCATCCACATGTTTAACCAAACCTCGATTAATGCAAGTCAGCATTATTATCCACCACCTCCACAGAAACCTGGTACGGTTACTGTAACTTTATTCACAAATTGTATAAGAATTGAGTTCCGGAGTCTTTTGTAAAGTTAAAATTGGATTTTTTCGCGTATTTTGTTTTGGATAACCAAAAATTTCTTTAAAGGCGACAATAAGAATGTTTGGCCACCTCGTTTTGATGAGTCAAACTGTCGACACAGTGAACAGTATGATCATTTGAATAGCTTCAACTCTCAACAGTCGCAAGACGCAGTTTTCTCACAGAACACAACGCCATATTCACATGGTCATTTTTTACGATTCATCACTAATAATGACAGGATTTCTTACTCAGGACTAGTTTTAAGTTAAAAGATGGAGAAAAGGGTTACTTTTCTGAAATTTTTATTCCAGGTCTCTCCCAAGACATTTCTGGTTGGACGCAATCCCAAACCCAGCGGGTTTCATCACAGTCACAGTTTTATGGTTTTAGTCAATCTGATGCCCTTTACAGTCAGGTAATTTTGTTACAAGAAGGTTAAATTTTTACAAGTCTTTGAGTGAATAATTTCTGGGCGGTTCAAGGAAAAAAGCATTTAATGTAGATGTAATCGAGTTTTAGGACCAGAATCTGGAAAGTCAGATGGAAGCTTTGCTTCTTTCCCAAGACGCAAGGAAAGACGGTTTTAAATATGGGAGTGCCAGTTAATAGCAGATGCTCTAGAGATACACAGAAAACTTCTGATGATTTGAAAGAGAATATGGAAAAACGTGGTTATTGGGTTGCAACAACACTGCAGTCATTTGCGTTGTGAAACGATTGTTATCAAATATTGAAGACTCCACGTTTTCTTCTCTTACTGCTTTTTTTATTGTTAACATTTATGCTGCAACATCGCCCTTCTGAGGGTTGGAAATCCCTGACAAAAATTTGGCGTGTTTGGACGGCAGCCGTGAAGTTCACCATGTTTGTTGAACTCGAAGTTTTCTATTGAAGCGAATTACATTGCTTGCAATATGGTTATTTATATCATAAAGGCTGCGAGAAGCTGCGGGACCATTATGAAGACCGTTCTAGGCGATTCCATCTACTTTGTGGTCATTTAAAGTTTTATTTTGTTTTATGTAGAAACTATTTCTTCACCGCAAAGATTATTAGCGGATTTGTTACAGTTGGAAGAATTGTTGGAAGAAACATTTTGCACTTCAGGCTTGAAAAATTAGTTGTTTTTGATCGGTAATTACTGTTAATCAATTTATGCAGTGAGAAGTACACGCGGCATATGTTTAGAAATTAAAGGGCGGTTGTAATGCGCAGGTCGCATAGTCTCTGAAAGCCCGTGAGAAACGTGAGATTCTCTTTTGTCCGTCATATCTTGTTTTGAAAAAAGCTGTTACATTTCGTTTGTGTCTTGGTCTCACCATATCCTTTATTGTAGCTTCTGGTCTTACGGGTTTCCCATTCAGTGTCCCTCAGGCTGGCGTCAGCCGTCAGAGAAGATATGGAGAGGATAGTTCAGGTGCTTTTATTTTTGGGGTCTCCTTTGGGGGGCTTAAGATGATAGCGCACTGTATTTTGGTAATCTCTTAGTGCACCATTTTATGTTACTTTATGTTGTCGCCTTCTTCTGCCTGTATTTTGCTCGTGGATTTCTTTTGGTTGTTCAACCTGTACTGCTTGGTACTTTAAGTTTTGGTTTTTTCTTGGAAGTGAAGTCTTTTGGTATAGTTTATTCATCTTTTCTCTCTGTTTTATGTCCAGTGAAGTCTATTGTTAGTGATTATGGCGAATGGTTTGCATTTTTCTTGTGTAGTGTACATTAGCATTAATACTTAAAGAAAGCAAGGTACTGCTTTATGACTGAACGTGCTTTTACTTCTTTTGAAGTGGAGGTCTTTGATCGTGTTCTTACGATATGACTTCTCTAGTTTTTGCAGTAAGTAGAATACTGTATTTGTTTAGGGCAAGTGAAAGTTGAAGGCTGGTAATTCTACTTCACTGACTTTCGTGATGTGGTTGTCTGTGGTGAGTGCTGCATATGTTTGAATTACAGTTTGAAAGTCTTCGTGTGATAATGCCAAATCAGTGATCAGCTGGCGGAAATAAATGTGAAGCTCGTTGTAACGCATATTCCAGTCAAATGTAGGTCGTTCTGGCTTTTTACTTTTATAAGGACGCCATAAGGTGTCGTTGCAATTGCCTCGTCCATTCCCAGCTAATGCTGCCTGCGTAAATCCATTACTGTCTTGCGATGCCAGCTCGTCAAATCCTGAATTGTCTTTAATACGAATAGCTTTGAAAGTATAGCATTTGAGGGATGTGGATTTTTAACACAGGAATACTAGAGCGAGTGAAGCAGTGTTTGAAAGGCGGCCAAACAGTGTCCAAGGCACATTATGCAGTGAGTTACATTCTGGGTGCTTTTTTTTTAAAGGGTTCTAGCCGCCCACCACTGCTTGAGGGGGAGCAGGAAGGTAAACATCTGATTAGATTAGTTCGTGCAAAGGCCCCCAGAATGGTAGCTGCTTTATCTGCGCTTTTCCAGAGGGAGATTTACAGGATAAGCGAGTAATAACTATTTTGCAAGTATTAAAAAGCAAAATCGATAGTTTCTACTGGTAGCCTCCAGAGGTAATGCTCGCAGTTGCAGAGCACCGTTTAATCTTTATCTCTAAAGCTCTCCAGACGGCTATTTCAAGGCAGGGAGATTGGTTCACACAAATGCACTTCAACTGTAATTATCACTCTCCTTCTGATGAGCGAACAAACGAACAAACTCCAGGGTTCGTGAAAGGTGTCACTAACACAGCTGAAAGAAATATTCCAAAGATTACAGCATTTCGATCTACATAATCGCGCCTCATTATCGCACACTATCAAAAACTGCTAGTATCGATGATGTTTCAGCGGAAGTGAGCGAGCTGCATTTCATCTGTCAAGCTGTTAATTTGTTGGTCTTAATAATACTGTGCTGTGTGTGTGCTAGCACCGAGATCATTTAAAACAAAAGTGAGGGAGCCCAGCCTTGTGCATCCAAAAAAAAAGCGCTTTTGCCACAAGGCAACCAATAAACCAGCCACCTGCACCGCTCGACAGTCAGTAGAAACAAAAACAGCTGAGCAGGCAAATTAGTTGACACTCCTGTTGCATGCTTGAGCTGAATGGACGGTCTTGAATGGAGCCATCTGCTTGCTTGCTTTTTTCAGAGTGCTGCTGATAAAAGCTCTAATTGAAAGCTAAGACTTAAAAATTCCCACCGAAGCACCGTACTATTGGCAGTTTGAGAAGCCTGTGCAACACTTGGGATGCTGCAGATCTGCCACTGACATTGTTGTTCAGCTCAAAAAGAACTGAAAAAGCAATCCTACCGCGCAGTTTACGGAAAACTCACATGTTACAGCTAGAAAAGGTCACATGTTACAGCTAGAAAAGGACTGGCAGAAAAGCCATATACTTATAATGGGGCTCAGGAAATGACATCATATTTCGTTTTCTATTTCAACCTCTAAGGCCCACAATACTAACTCTTACTTTTCAATGCGGCAGCACCAGCGCGAGGACCACTTCCACCAGCAAGTCTACCGCTTTGTCAACTAGATTTAAAATTGCTTAACGCCCAATTCTTATAAACCATCCTTTTTCCTGACAAGCGTGAAAATTACTTTCACACGCAACATAATAATTCTCCTCTGCACTAACTTTGCTACACTGCATATGGGCAAACAAACAAGTGGCGCGTACACTGAAAGAATATTTTTATACCAAACAACTGAGTTAAACAAGCATATACGTAGTAATTAGAAAAGCGAGAGTGACGTCCTATCGAGAGGCAAAGCAAATGTACAGATCATACGGCCACCTTCCCTTTTTCCTAAACAACTTTATAAATTGAATTTTCGCTGTACTTGGAAAGATGGAAAACTTCATACTTGTTTAAAAAAGCAAATGTAACAAATTAAATGGCAGGTACTTAATTGCGTCAGAACTTTCGGACTTTCGAACTATTAAAAAGTAGGAACAGTCGTTCAACTACAGTAGCATTCCCTTATCAACTAGGCAGGTGTACGATATTACACCACACTAAAACAGAGAGAACGGCGAACCGGTAGAAGCAGCAGGAATTATCATAAAAACTAACACTGTACTACAACGATCGAGTTATTTTTTCAATTGAGCCTTCAGTTTCTTTCTGTAAGCATTAACGCTCAACTTCGACTTCTTTTTTTTCTGCAAAAAAAAAAAA